CATATTGAGAATATGAAATAGATATAAAACCTGGTTGTGCCTGAAAATTCCTTTATGGATCTCATCTCAAAAAGCATGTTATAAAAGAGAAAATTAGATAAATATAATTTTCTAATAGGTAATTTCAAACATTTATCAAGGGGAATTTAAAATCAAATCAAGAGAATAATTAATAGAAGAAGGATATAGTTGTCAATTGTTCTTTCATTTACAGTTTTTTGAAAGATTTAAAATGAATAAAATGACTAAGGTATAGAGCAGAGTAAATCAGAATTTTAAACATAATTTTGTATTGATAATGAACATGTATGTGAAAATATACAAATGTACGGTTGAAAGAGTTGAAATTTAATTGTGTTATGATCTCAAAAAGATTTTTTAGGAAATAACGCAGCATTGTACATGATACCATTAACTAGAACGTATAAAAGACATTGCAAATGGATGAACAACATGAAGGGACAATTAATCATGTTTGGGGGACATGTACAAAAGGTAAAAAAAATATTTAAATATATACATTGATACAGATTGTTTTAGAGATCAATATGCAATTGAAGCCAGAACATTTCCTTTTAGGATGAATAGATAAATAGTCAGAAAAAAGCCATGGAAGTTTATTTCAGTATATGATTACAATAACAAGATTACTGTGTGTACAAGGATGGAAAAAAATCAACACTACCTCTATAGAGGAATAGTTGACGTTGGCTGACTGAAGTGGATAAATTGACTTCTGTGATTGGAGAAAAGATGTTTTTACGTTTATTGGCAATTGGAAGTCTCTTACAGACTTTTACCCTAAAAATGAAAAATGATTTATGTTTTTGATGATTAGACAGGATAGATTATAGGAATAAGAACAATAAGATGTAATTTTGGAGAGAGAGGTTAAAATATATCTATATTTATAACTGCTGTGAAGTATATTGGAACCCACTTGTTTATATTTTTTTGTATATATTGTTTTTCTTTTCTATTTTTCTTCAGCTGTTTTTCTTTGCTTGCATGTTTCTTTTTTCTTCTTTATTTTATATTGTTGGTGTTAGTTTCTATCTCTTTGTTTAAAAGTTTTATTAAAAAGTATATATAAAAAAGAAAAGAATGGTTACCATTCTTTTCTTTTTTTATATACCATGTTTCCCTGAAAATAAGATCGAGCTTGATTTTTGAAGGTGGGCCTAACATAAGCCCTATCCCCAAAATAAGTCCTAGTTAAGACCCCACCCACTCGTCCACCTCTTCCCTTTCACTCCTCTTCTGAGCCAGATTTCTGGTGCTTTCAGCCACCTGGACCTCTTTGCAGCTCTGCCCACACAGCCACCAAAACAGCAGATGGAGCCCCAGAGGGTTGAGAAGGGTGCTGAAGTGGGTGGGCATCCTGCCTGCAATGCCCATGCCAGCTGCCCCTTACCTACCACTGAAGATGTTTCCCTCTACAGCCATTTGTTTTCCAGAAGCCCCCACCCCCACCTCAACAATACTACATCACAACAGCTAATTGGGACATCTTGGAGAAAGAAAAAGTTGTCCACTAGGAAGATCAATGCCAGAGAGTTTTGCCATTTCAGAGAAGGAGATAAATGAGATTTTGTCTATCATCCCACCAATCTTATGTGGTTTAACATTTTCAAGAGAAAATGAGCGTGTTAGTTTTATGTTTTACTTCTTCATTCAAAGAACCCAAGAAGTAGGAGTAAACATTTTATTAAAAAGCTAAACCTAAGACCGACAACTTCATTTTTCTATCTTTGCTTGGATTCTTTTAAAACTGTCAAGCTGTAGGATTTTCATAACTTGCTGAGAACAGTATAGAAATTCAACAGAAACAACATTGCTGTATTATCTGGCAATGACTTGCTCCTCAGCTAATATCTTTCTATAATGCTTACTTTAAAAAAAACCCAAAACATACGTTCTTTAGTAAAGTTCCTATTCAATTGTATTTGGAAGTACCCTCTCTGCAATTCTGCCTTTAATAGCTTCCTATTTAGACTAATCACTCATAAGAACTTGATAAAATCACCTATATTTAGTGCTGTTTTTTGGGGTGGAATTGAATAATAATTTCCTCTCATTTTTTTGTCTTTAGTTTTGAAGACTTGTTTCCAATTAAAATCATTTTTTTCCAGTTTTCTGTATCATTCCCCTTCTGTAAATGATGGGAGATAGGATCGTTTCATATCACATTTAGAGCTTTAGATGTGTAACAATTTTTTTGAGCAATTGCTAATCCTTAAAGCGTGAACTAGTTTATTTTTTTGAAAAAAAAATATAAGTGTGTGTGTGCAAAATGAAAAGAAAATGGAACCACAAATATTATTCCCTTATCAGTGTAAACATATGTCACATAATACAGAAGCTTTAAAAGTCTGACTTGTATAAGTCTGCTTTTCATGACATTGTCCATAAACAAACAAAAAACAACAACAAAATAATATTGCTCTGCATTGCCCCCTACAGTCAAAACAGGGACAAGTAATTGGAGGAACGCAGTTGCCCAGAAAGGTGTCCAAACTATTATGCTTTTAAGTTGGGAACAATATGACATTTCCCTCCTCTGTTTGAGATTCAATTTTACCAATTAAAATTAACTGAGTCCTGTGAATAGTTTTCCATGCATGAGATGAGTACAAATAAAAATAGCAAATTGTAAATTGTAATCCATTGTAAATTTATTTAAGTCCTCCTGAAATCAATAGAACTTACTGCTCTGTAGCCTGTAGCTGGATTTAAAGCAGTGGATCTCAACTTTTTTAATGCCGCGACCCCCCAACTGGTCGTAAGTCAAGGACTACTCAATCGGTCGTAAGTTGAGGACTACTCAACTGGTGCAGCACCGTTTGCAGAATGGGACTTTTGGCGGGCTCAGCAAGGCAGAGACAGCCTGGACAATTCCTATTGGCTTCTGAAAGCCAATAGGATTAGACTCTATTCATGAGAGTCTATTCTATTGGCTTTCAAAAGCCAATAGAATAAAAGGGAGTAGCACAGCTAAGGAAAAGGGGGAAAAAATGGCGGACTGTGTTGTTTGGCGACCCCCGTGAAATGGTCGTTTGACCCCCAAATGGGGTCCCGACCTACAGGTTGAGAACCACTGATTTAAAGGCTGCATGAAGCCACGGTTTGTATGTATTGTTATTGGTTGCACATTTCAATGTTTAGGTTCATCCAGACCATATTAAACCACAATGGATTGTTGGATTTACCTGTTTTAAAGCATTATGCTTAGTATGATATGCAGATTTGATCTATGTTTGGTCTGAATTGCTATTAAGAGTAACCATTATATATGCATGTTGTATAGATGCATGTTATAAATTTATGAAAAGACAGTTTGGTGTAGTGGTTAAGGCAGAGGTCCCCAGCCTTTTGGGCACCAGGGACCATTTCTGTGGAGAGAAGTTTTTTCGTAGGCCAGAGGGGGTGTGGTTTTGCCTGCTGCCTGCATCCCATGGATGGGGCTTCACTTGTTTGTACGGTTTCTGGCATGCCACGGATTGGTGCCGGTCCACAGACCAGGAGTTGGGGACCCCTGGGTTAAGGCACTGGGCTGGAAACCAGGAGACTATGAGCCGTAGTCCTATTTTATACATAAAGCCTTGGGTCAGTCTTTCTCAGCCCTAGGAAACAGGCAAGGACAGACTACTTGTGAAAATCTTGCTAAGAAAACTGCAAGGACTTGTCCAGTGAGTTGTCAAGAGTCAACACTGGCTTGACAGCACAGATAGATAGATAGATAGATAGATAGATAGATAGATAGATAGATAGATAGATAGATAGATAGAATATCAAGACACATGGGACTTAATTCTGAATTGTTACAAATAAGAACCCAGGTTAGCTCACTTGACATAATTTGTTTCTGATTAAAAACTCTAGTTTTGAAGTCAGATTCTTCTCGGACGCATAAAGCCACACAATGTTGATGGCTATGTTTACCATCTTTGATAGAGAGGCCCCACCCTAAGCATTTGATTTAAAATAGTTTGATATTTTTTTAAAAAATAGTTGACTAATTAGGGAGTAGTGTATCCTGAACAAAACAGAATATTCTGAACAAAAATATTCTAAACAGGAAGCTGTTAAATGCAGAATTGAAAAGAGGGTACTTGCAAATACAATTGAATAGGAACTTTACTAAAGAGCATATCTTTTTGGTTTTTTTTAAATAAGCATACAAAATTATTGTTTTTATGCCTTGAGTTGCTGTCTTCCTATCTGAAGTCCTGTAAGTACTTGGATGAACTTGAATAATGTGACCTGTCTGGTCTTCTGGAGCATGATGCCTTACTAAGCCATTTGTAATTTGTCAATCTGGATTTCACTCCATCTTTACAAGGCACAACTATGGTGGTCATTTAAAAAAATGACCACTGCCCCTTGAAAGCCACTGAAAAATAGATTTTGTTGGTTCCACTTTTCTTCTCAGAATATCTTCATGAAGAATTTGGCTTAACTCGTCACCCAAAAAATATCAATAAACTCACATCCATCCCTTTCATTTCTTTTTCTTTTTTTATATTTGTTTACATGTGTACATAGCAAACACTCTAGTCCTTAACCCTGACTTTCTTCTATTTATATCTAACTGCAGAGTGTAGATGAACAGTAGTAGTAAATAAGAATAGTTAAGACTAATTTGATGGATCATTTCTGAGCATATAGAGGTATCTAATTTTTTTTACTTGAAAACCATCAAAAGGAAAATCAAAAAAGGAAAAAAAATACCTTTGATTGCAAGTAGATGCTCTAGATATATCAGTTGGAGGAAGTAAACCTAGTTTCAGCCTTTATATGTACTTTATGCTTCTTCAGAGACAACATAATATCACCTTCTCCTTTTTGCTAGATCTTTCAGGCTCAATATGACTAAATCCAGTAGCTGTCCCTATCAGTTGGCTTCCTATAAGTATTCCATGGTTACTTGGCTACCTAGGTTTGTTGCTATGCATTCCATTCTAGGCCATCTAAAAAAAGTCACATTATATTAACGAACATGTACACACAACAGAAAAAGTTTATGGCCCACTTTCCTATTTTGTAAAAAATTTCTTCCTGCTTCTTGATGTTCAAAGTGAAATGCTGACAAGTAGGAGCAATATTCAGTGTTCAGCAGTCAACCCCAAAGGCCCTTTCCCTCTAGGCCCATTCCCAAGACATATCTGGATCCACCACAACACTCCCCAGGACAGTTTGGATAAAGCTTGCCATGAGATCTGGAAGAGAGTCCAAGGTCTCCCTGAGGAACTACAGCCCAAATCTTCATCGCCTCTTCTGCAGGTTAGCTGTCACCCTATCACCTCTTCAGAGGCTCTACAAGAAGACAGCAGTAGTACTCACAACAGTTCTCAAAAAGAGTGAGTGTTTTTATTATTTTTTTAAAATGTTTTTCTTTATAAAATGAGAATAGACTTCTTTCCAAAAAGATTGTCCTGTAGAAGATTTCCTAACTAGAGATCTCATACAATGACTGAGTTGAAAAAAGGAGGCATAAATTATTTTATTATAAAACCCTAAACATTTAGAGCCATTGAGGGCCTGAAAGGATTTCACTTGGTTTGTCCACAATAGTTGTGATAGACAGTTGAGTAATAATCCCTGGAGCCTCAACTCATGGACCCTTCAAAGAATGACTCAACTGAATGATAAATAAACAGACATGGTGAAAGTAATTCAGAATACCTATTGTAGAGCTAGTTTGGTCTAGTGGTTAAGAAACCTGGTTTGATATCAGAAGATGGTGTTCCAGTCCAACTCTAGGCGTGAATACTGGCTAGGTAACTTTAAGCCAATAATGAGACAGTGAGTTCTAATTCTGCCATAGATAAGAAAGCTGGCTGGGTGACTTTGAGCCAATCACCAGGGAGCTGTGAGTTCTAGTCCTATCTTAAATATGAAAGCTGGTTGGGTGACTTTGGACCAGTCATTCCCTATATCCCAACTCACCTCAGAGGGTTGTTGTGGAGAAAAATAGGAGGAGGAAAGATTATTAGCTATGTTTGCCTCCCTGACTTGTTTAAAAACAATAATGGTGGGATAAAAAAATACCTAATTGTAAACAATCCAATATTATTATTTCATTTAGGAAAAAAATAATAGGATGCAGGTAAACCTTTTAAAGGACTTTTTATAATAATGATAAGCACTGAATGCAAAAAATCAGAATACATAGCTTAGAACCTGAATATTTCACAATCATTTTTTCTCTTGCCTGCCCACCCAGAAGAAATACTTTGTTTATCAAATGCATGGACACTCACACCCAAATAGAGAATGATTTTGATAAAAGTGCCCCAACTGTAAAATAGTCTCCCTGTTCAGTTACACTTGATGTGGAATCTTCTTAGCTTTTAGCGTCAGCAGTAAAGCTATTTATCTGACCAAGCTATTGGTTGAACTTATGTTTCTTGGTCATTTAGTATATTGCTCTTGCTTTTATAATGCTATTTTTTAGGCTTTAAGTAGTGTGATTTTTTTTTTTTAACCATTTTAGTGGTTCTGTTCTATTGTATGTCATTTGGGGATTACTTTTAATGGAAAGTGGGAGAATGCTTTTATAATGAATAAAATAAAAATAACATTAAACACCACTCAAGAACATCTAGAGAAAACAAATAGGCCACCTAATTTATAGGCAATTCTGATATACCGAGAATGGTTTCTTGTTTAAAGGAGAAGTATCTCATACATCTTTCATTTTTTAGTAGTCAAATAGTTTTTGCAATCCCTCTACCAAAACAAACAAACAAACAAAACCCAACACCAAACAATCAAATGGGTAGTAGATAATTTATCTCTCCAACTTTGGAAGTTTTTTCTGACACTCTGGGGGGGGGGGGGAATCTGTGCACAAGTGAGTGTCTGTATCCAATTCAGATTCTTTGATAATTTTGATTTAATTTTCCTTTGGAATCATAGAAAAACAATGTCTTTCATTAATGGAAAGGATCAAAAAGCACAATGAACAAGATTAAAAAAGAATTAACAATGTGATTCTTCTAATGTAATGTACATTCCACCCAACTTGCAAATGCTTTCACAGCAGTTTACAGCCTCATGTTGACATAAATCCATGTCTGAGATTATGCAGGCAGACAGAGGATGCATCAGTACAGGTCTTAAATTAGAAAAAGAAGCAAAACAAGGCTTTCATAGAGGAAAATGAATGAAACTTATAGAGGAACATTATAAGGAATATCTGAGGAGAGAGGCAGAAACTTTGACAAAATTCCAACAAAATAGATATCTTTGAGGACAGTCTTAAAGCAAAAAAAATATGAATAATTTGTAAGTGACAATTAAACAGAAAGATGTGGAGTTCTCCCACTATGTTTAACGCTAATAGTGTTGCTCAGATAAAGTGTATGTGTGGTGTACATTTCAGTAGAATCAGTCAACTGCCTTGGACAATTGATTGGGCAATGAATTGTTAAATCATTTCTGCTGTACATTTTTACTATCTAAGAGGAGGAAACATCCCATCAGATCTTCTGCCTTAATGCCAAAATAACTAATCGAGTCTTGGGTAGGCAAATGTAGAATTTGCTGTTTTACCCAGACACAAATAAGCCAGAATTTGAGGAGAATTTAATATTGCTTTGGTATAAAGAATATATCAAATTCTTTCTAAGTCCATATGTGAAATAAATTGTAGCTTCCCTTTAATGATTTTCAGATTTTTATGATGCAAAATGCATTTATCTATCCCTGAATATGATCATCTAAGCATTAGGGAACTGCATAGATTAGGCAGTTTATTAAGAGGAACAGGCTGTAACAATACATATATTCTAATATATAAAATTGATAAAATCTATCCAAATACAAATGTTTTTGAGACTTCCCTTGACTTGAAAAGCAATGTGGAAATACTGATGAAGAAAATATTTTTTTCACCCGAAACAGCAAGAAAACTATATTGAATTTTCTTCTTCATATTTAAGTTGTACATTTTAGCCACTGATATAGATTAGATAAATATGTTTAGATTGTGGTAACACCATGATTAAAAATATATATCAATCAATTTTTTAAATGATGTTTGTGTTACTTTGTTTATCAACATTCTGTATTAGAGAAGAAACATAAATGGAGAAACATACATATTTGCATATTTGCATCTTACCCAAGAAGCTTCTTCATTCATTCCCTACCATTCAGTTTGAACTGAAGAAGCTTGTTGGATGAGAAGCAAAACATTTTCAAAAAAACAAAAACAAAAATAAGAAAGTTCAGTTGCCTTTTGGAAAAAAGCACCTTTAGGACAGTGTTTGAATATGTTCTTTCCAATCAGTTTGTATTTTTTAAAAAGTCTTCATGAAAATGCATTCTTGAATAAGTTCTTCTCTAATATGCACATTATTTTTCCAAGCAATTTGCTTTTAATATTGGACTTTCACAGACCTTTCTCATAATGTGTGCACTTTATATGTGTTTTTTTAATGAAAGCATTGCACCACAGAATTTGGAGAAGTGTGAAAAATGAAGACATTTGCATTCCACTTTGTACATTAGCTTAGGAAGTCTAACATTTATATTGAAAAGTGACCCAGACATTTTTTCCCCTAACCCTAATGATTAGAGATGCTGTTCTTTCAGCAACAGCTGCCATCAGCTTATCTAAAAGCAGACCTGAATAATTCAAAAAGTGTGTAGCTGTTTAGCAAAATGAAATCATAGCCATCTGCCTCAGGTGAACCTACTTAATTCTCTAGAGGCCAGGAGTATGCATGTTATTCCTAACACGTTGGAGAAATGATAAAATATGAATGCAATAAGCAATAATGCAAGTGAAGTATGAAACATTTACAGCTTAGGGAAAGAGGATCTATGTTCTTTGTACAAGTTCCTCAATCCAATTCCTGCCAAAATGAGAAATATTTCTGTTCTGCAGAGCTACTACTGTAGTCATAAAAACAGAAAATGCAGTACACATTTACTATATGTAAGCCAGTTGTGAGTTCTATTCCACTTGGGTGACTTTGGCCAATCACAGGAGACCATGAGTTCCAGTCCTGCCTTAGGCATGAAAGCCAGCTGGGTGACTTTGGGTCAATCACCAGGAGATGGTGAGTTCTAGTCCTGTTATAGACATGAAAACTGGTTCGGTGACTTTGGGGCAGACCCTCTCTCCTAGTCCAACTCAGTTCAGAGGACAACTCGCCATGGCCAACTTGTTATGGCTTTCTCGCTGCCATTAACTTGCCACGGTCATTTTTCCATAGCCAACCTGGCACAGCCATCTCACTGTAGCCATCTCACCATAGCCAATTTGCTGTTGGCCAACTCACTGCAGGACAATCCATGCAGGATAACTCAAAGCAACAAATGTTATTCACCAATGTTTCTTCTACCTTATTTCCATTTTTGTCAATAGAAATATTGTTCAAAAACAGTGATGGATAATATTTATCATGTTGAGTTATCCCGTATGGAATTGTCCTGTGGTGAGTTATCCAGCAATGAGTTGTCCCACAGTGAGTTGGCCAAGGTGAGTTGGCTGCAGCAAGTTGTCCCATTTCATCACAGGATTGTTGTTTTGGGGAAAATAGAAGGAGGAAGGAGAAATATGTATGCTTCTGCCTTGAGTTATTTATGAACACAACAAAGACATGATTTTAAAATCTAAAATCTGTTTTTCTTCCTATATCACTTTGCATACTTGATATACAGTTATTATTTCAATAGACAAAATTCTACATAAATATTATATACACAAGTCAGGAAACATCAGAATAGTCCAAAAAGAGCTAGTGTTGAACAGTGATGAAGTAATAGACTACAAATGGGGAAACCCAGATTCAAGTCCATTATCATTAATGGAAGCTGACTGACTTCTAAGCCCAAACTCAAGTTTCAGAATAAACAGTTTTCAGGTCATTTAAAAATGCCACTTTGGGGTTAAAATGACCTATTTTGAAATTGTTTTTTTATGACTGGGACGTTCAGAATGATGCCATTTGAAATAACTAAGCATTATTTCAAAATGATTTGCTTTGTTTTGAGGTCAAGATGCATTTTGCTTTGAATCCAAAAGAATTGAAACAGCTGTTTCAAAGTTGAAATATTTCAAGAGGAAAATTCAATCCCTGAATAGTATATGTAATTGTTATTATAATATCCCTCTGTTGATTTACTTTTAGGAAAAAATGAAGGGTCTAAAATGTTCTGGACGATGGCAGGAGGAAAAATATTGCACTCCCTTTGATTTATAAAACATTTGTTGATGCTCACTTTTCTACTAGCTCTGGAACACTGATGTGATATTATTTCTCCTATATTACATGGATCAGCATTACAAATAAAGAAAAGAAATTGCTACTGAAAACCCATTTCCCAAAAGTATTGTGTAACAATA